TGCTAGTCCAATTATTATTGAATAATATTGAGATCAATCCTTACTGGGAGCCCCATACTTTCAACATCAAAACTGTGCTTAGAAAATAATCATATATGGCATGTGGCAAAAGTAAATACTTTTTTTTTTTTCGGGCTGAGGTGGATAGGATGACGTGGACAATTGCATGGTCATCAATGATTACCGGACCTAACACTACCAGACTTTCTTGTGTTTACAGGTTCAAACCAAAAATTTCTGATAATTTTTTGAAATTAATGTAGAAATTTGTCAAATGGTTTGTAGAAGTGTTGCTGATAAGGTTCAACGTTGTATCAAAGATTGATATGTTCTTGATCGAAGTAGCTAAGTGGGTTTGGCTACTGTAAACAAGTAGTACACGGTAGCAGAAATTGACTGGTACTCGTCGTAGTTGCAGGTAATAGGTGTAGACCAATAGGATAGCCAATAGCGTAGTCCAATGGGCGTCGTAACAGACTTAAACTCTGTTGTACCTACACGTCCGTCTGTATTTATGACAGACACCAGCCAATCATATTGCAGTGAGGGGGAACTCAGATGTATGCATCTTCCATTATATCAAACATGAAGAGGAGCATTTTGAACATATTAAACAGTTTGTTAATCCTGTTTTTTTTCATGTGACATTATTCGGAATATTGTCCTCATCTTTGTTGCCATATTTATTACAATGTTTCGGCCATTGTACGCTCCAGCCTTCTTCAGGTGGTTGGAATGTCGAACTGAAGTCTTCATTTCACTCACTGAGGTAGACTGTTCTAGTTCCACGTGCCATGTCTAATGGATGCCAGTTATCAGTTATCTCCTCAAGGACAGATGGCACAGTAGATAAAGGCATTAGTTAGATCCAGTGACAGGACCCAAAGAGTGTGAGTTCAATACCTGGTTGAAGCAGTGGAGAACTTGGAGGGAGGAATTAACAGGAGATAACCGACATCCATTAGACCTGACACATGGAACTAGAACAGTCTACCCCAGTGAGCAAAATAAAGGGTTCAGTTCGACATTCCAACCACCTGAAGAAGGCCGGAGTGCACAACGGCCTAAACATTGTAATAAATATGGCAACAAAGATGAGGACAATAGTCCGAATAATGTAAATAGTGCAGATACTATTTTTATTTTTTTAAACAATATCTCATTTTCACTCATTTTATTGATTGAATGTAAGCAAACCCTTAAAAATCTGTTTTTTTTTTTTCTTTTTTAATGCATTCAATATTTTTTTTATAATTAGATCAGGTAACCAAACAAAATACTATTTTTTCTGGATAACTGTCATTCCACTGTATATATTAATGTGTAGAGAACAAAAATTTTCTTAAAAATTTAATTCTAAAAATTATGGCTATCATTATTTGACATATGACTTAAGTAAATATGTTTATACAGAGTTTAGTGTGACATTATTATGGTGGGAGAAAATTTCACAAAAGCTAACAATTTCTTGGTAATTGAAGTAGGATTATTTTTAGCATTAAAACTGCAAGACAATATCACAGATTTTACTTTTCATTATAAGAAAATCTTTAAAATTTAAAAGTTTAAATTCAAGTTCATTTTTGAATGAAGAAAAACAAAAAAAACAAAAAAAAAACAAACAAACAAATGTATTGGTGTGTTTAAATTCACTAAAATTTAGTAATTACTATTTTTATTGGTCAAAATTTCTAGAACCAAACTGTAAGACCCAAACATTAATCTTTAAAATATCAATTCAAATTAAATCTTAAAATAGGTTAATTTCTTTTTGTCTGAATTTCTGAGATTAGGAGTTATTTACATTCAGCCTATTATCTTTATCTTTGTTGTTGTTATCACATTATAACAAAGATGAGGACAATAGTAAATAGGGTAAATAATGTTTATTTCAGTTTATTTTCAGTTGAAAATTTAAAATAAGCAAAAAGAAAACTTAAAGTGAATCTCATTGTTTGGCATTCTTCTTTTATGTGTCGAGTCCCTTCGAAATGTGGGCGATCATAGCTCTCCACAACTTCCTTATCCTTTGTCACTCTTAATGTTTGCCTATCCATCCCATTCCCTGTTCTGCCATTCATTTGCACAATTTCTCTAAGTAGGTTATTCTCCATTTCACTCTGCATTTCTTGTTTTCAATGTTCTGTAAGTGTCAAATTATCCAACCCTCTTTCCTCATTATATGCCCCATAAATTTTGTCTACTTCTGATTCTAAGTACAAATGCCCCTTTTTGCCATTATTTTCCTTAAACTTTTCTTGTTCCTTGGACGTCCTGTCCATGGTATTCTCATTTTTATATATGTGAGGAAATTGTCTAACATTCACTGCCACATAAGACGATCAGTATTACATAGCAATTCAGCACTATTCTTTATTTCTAATAAGACCCCTCCCCCCAGTTTCTTAATACTTTATCTTTTGGAAGGTATTATCCTTCCCCATTCCTATGCACCTTCAGATTTCTGTCTTCTTAACGCTTTCTGTGCTTCATTTGATTTTAACATCTCTAATTTGTAGCTCGCATTTTGGGCCGTTCTTTTTGCTGACAATGAAAATTTAACTTGTCATGATGCAATTTGATACTTGCATTTTATTTAATTCTGATGCAATTTAATCACTGCTGTATAGATGCCATAAGTAAACAGAATTAAAAGTTTCGTTGACTTTGATATCCTAAACAATTTCTGCATACCAAGCACGAAATTACCTCCCTTTATTTGCTTTACCTTGACTCATATTCTGAACTTGTCTTTGGTATTTGAAAAATGTCGAAAATAAAAAACAAATGAAAAATAGTGCCCAAAAATTAAATTTGTTTTTATTTTATTTTTGCTTATTGTTACAAATTAGGTACTTACTAGTCACAAATGTTTAATCACATTTCAGCTTTTATTTACAGAAAAAAAAAAAACAGTAGTTGAAATTATATTAGATTCTGGATATTATTTTTTATTTCACTTCTGTGATTTTCCATATTCAATGAATACTCGGAATAGGATGCTAAATAAAGAAAAAGAAAATAAAAAGGAGGTAACTATTTGGTATGCATGAATTGTTTTGAACACTAAAAAAAAATCAACATTACCCAAACTTATTACAAGTTTTCAGAGGGGAAAAAAATCTAGCCACTTAATTACTGATCTTCCTTCCTTCACACCTCTTGAAAATTTAATGAAAGAAAGAAAAAATATTACTTTCTTTTACAAAACTGAATTTTAGTGAAGTTTAAAAAATAAGACATTTATTTTCTATGTGCCATGACCCTTCAGGTCGTGAGTATGCCACAACATAAAACACTACTAGTACCTTTCTGTCATACTTTTTCATTCACAACCCCCTCTTTGTGGTGCTTACTTTGCCATCTAATTTAATCACACTTGTTATGTAAGAAGTGAATCTAGCTTCGTTTGCCTTGTGTCTTATGAGTGCTAAGTTCTCAATGTCTTCTTTCCTCATTGTGACGCCATCATAGTTGTTTGATTGTTAGCAAAAGTTTCGTTGTAGTTTCAAAACATCCAGAAAATTTTTCCCAAAACCGATTTCCTAAAATTAACACTAGAAATATTTCAAGCAAAGAGATTTATTATTATTTTAACACACGCAAGTATTTTTCAACTAGAAACCATAAAAAAATCGTTTTAGGAAGATTAAGTGTCAATTTTCGAGAGGGACATTACAGGCACCTACTTTTATTCCTTTTTTAATTGTAGGTTTTACGTTTAACTTTCATAGATGTTTAATTTTTTTAAAATTTGTATTAAATAAAAATAAAAAAAAATAAAATAGGTGTCAGTCAAAAATGATCTTGTTTGTGAAAGCATTCATTCGGAATCCTTGAATAAAAGAAAAAAAAAATTATTTTTCATGAACAGAAGATTTATTTATTATTTTAAAAAGTTTTTTACGAGTTAATAAAAAAAACAAAACAAAAATACTTCAAGTTACGGACGAAATAAAAAAAATATCCATTTTTTTTTCTAATAAAATATAAATAAAGTGTTTTTGAGGAATTAAAAGTTTTTTTTTATGTAAGTAAAAAGAAAAGAAATAATGTAAAATTTAAATTTTGTAAAACAATCATTGTTTTCAAACAAAGACAAACAAAAAAAAATTAAAATGGGTTTTTAGAAGAAATCGTGATTTAAATAAAGAAGAATTTATTACCAAAAAGAAAGAAAAATAGGTAAAGGCAAAGAAACTGGTAAAGAAAATAAAACATTTTAAAAATACCTATACTTTGGGTTGGTGGTAAAAAAATAAAGGAAAAGTTTTATTGCAAAACAAAAATAATGATTTTAAAAACCATGCTTCTTTTTAAGTTCGATGTAGCAATCTTAAATTTAATAAAGAAAAATTAAAAATAAAATATAACAAAAAATAAAATAAAAATTCCGAAAAATAAACAAAAGAAATCCGATATATTTTATGTAAATTTTAAATGAAGTTTTAAGATGCCTAACAAAGATATATATAAAAAAAAAACAAGCAAAAATAAAATAATTATCTCTTTGCTTTTTTTAATTAAAAGCGTATTTTTATTTTATTTTTATTTTTCAAACTACAAAAAAAAAAAAAAAATAGAAAAAAACAGAAAAATAATAAATAAAATAAAAGCGAAAATTATTACTTTTTTATTTTCGTCTTTTTTTTTTCTTAAGTGGAACGAAGAAAATTTTAAAAATAAAAACCTCTTTAAAACTATTATTAATATTAATTAATTTCTAAAAAAAAAATTAATCATTATTTTTCATTTATAATCACACATGTGTTAAAAAAAAAAAAAAAAAGGGAAAAACATATAAAGTAAACTCTTGTCTAAACTGTTTTCTTTTCAAATTGCACAAAATGACGGTTACGGTTGTGTCTAACGAAACCAACATTAAAAACATGTCTCTAATAACGCCAACAAAAGGACGGTAAATGGGTAAAAATATGGGTAAAAAAACCAAAAAACCCATACAACAAACCCCAAAAAGACAGAATAATCGGGGTTTATACCTGGATCATAGTGAAAATCCGCCATATCCGGTGAAAAGCGAGAAACTAAGGCAGGAGGCGCCACTGTGCCACGGCCTCCCACCACCATTTATAGATAACCTCCTACCACTACTACCACTTATACTGCCACTATTTTCACACTGGGCAATAGCTTATTCGATAAGCACGTTGATCAGCTCATTTTTTATATCATACGCTAACTCTCCTGTTCTTCTTTATCTTTTCTTTCTCGCCTTTTTAAAAAAACAACCGTCGTTATTTGTTCGAGATAAAACAATAAAAACAGATAATACAAAATTTGATCACTTCTACAGTAGTTCTACAGATCTGCTTCAGATTCAATGCTTGCCTTAGCAATGGTTTGCTTTGGTTGGTGTGTTAGTACTAAAAAGTGTTAGTTACGTTTTTTTTAGCTAGGTAAGAAGGCATGTGACAAGAAGCTTTATTTCCATCTGCACTCTATTTGCGACTTAATTCCCCATTGTGTTCGATCCATAATTCACATTCTTTATTGTCCTCCTATGCTAAAGTCAAAAAGCTAAACCTTGCGACCTGAGGTTGACCGATGCTAAGCAATGAAATGATGTCTGAGTTTGATTCGCACTCACTACAATTGGTATTCACATTTCTGGAGCTGTGCCAGACTCTTTTTAAAAAGGTCGAAAGTACTTGCGAGTGAGCAATAGTTTAAACAACCTAATGTACTAGTCCTTGACAAGTTTCGAAACCCACTTTACTGGTACCCACTATTTTGAACCTTTACTAGACTTTTCGGATAGATATTGAGCGCTTGTGCGCGTGCGATGCTTTATGAAGTAAAAAAAAGGATAGTCGGGCAGCCAAGGTACCAATAGCCATTATTGATTCGTTCAGAACCAGTTGCGCGGTTTATCACTGGTGCCGACACAGTCATCAGCGGGCGAAGAGCAGCAAGGGAAGGGCTGGTTTGGAAGAGAAACACAAAAAAAAAAAAAAAAAATTCTTGTCACGATTTATTACACTACAGTAATAATTTTCTTGTCCTTATTCTTATTGCCAAAACTAGAGAAACATCGCCCACACCCACGAAACATGTAAAACAGCGAAACAAACTATTGGACAATCATGTATTATTCAGATTCTTTTTCACTTCATGATCTTTGAGCTTTGCTGTTGGGAAAAAAAGAAAGCGCTATGTTGAGTCGAACTATGTGATCATAATTTAGTTCGACCCAACATGGCGCCATGTTTTTTCTACGACCGGCTGATTCCGGCGAACTTTGCTGTAATTATTTATCTTCTTTCGCAGGAGGCCTAATTTTACACACGGCCTGTTTACACTATTTACATTATTCGGACTACTGTCCTTATCTTTGTCGCCATATTTATTACAACGTTTCGGCCGTTGTACCTTCTTCGGGTGGTTGGAATGTCGAACTGAACCCTTTATTTCGCTCACTGGGGTAGACTGTTCTAGTTCCACGTGCCATGTTTAATGTTGGATGTCAGTTGTCAGTTATCTCGTGTTAATTCCCCTCTCCAAGTTCTCCACTGCCTTAACCGGGTATTGAATTCACACTCTTTGGTTTATAATACCTAAAAATTCATACACAGATGCCCTCAAGGACACATGGCACAGTGGATAAAGGCGTTAGTTAGATCTATTGACAGGATCCAAAGTAAAGACAGTGGAGAACTTGGAGATAGTTAACAGGAGATAACTAACAACAGACATCCATTAGAACAGTCTACCTCAGCGAGCGAAATAAAGAAAAAATTCTTCAACCACCTGAAGAAGACCGGAGCGTACAACGGCCGAAACGTGGTAATAGACAAAGATGAGGACAATAGTGTACATAATACCTCATCTCAGAAATATAGTCAGATACAGCCTGTTTAATAGAGATGACTTGGTTCAGGCATCAGGGATTGACTTTGAACTTTCCTCAAGTCTGTTTGGGGTGGTTTCTTGGAACTGAGCAGATTATATTTCTTTTTACTCCAACTGGAGCGCTGGTGGGACTAATTGATTTTTATTGACCGTGAACGCTCTTAAATATATCTAAAAACTTCTCTGTCTTGTCAGATTGAGTACGCACACCTATCAGTTTTAACTTTTAAATATCGAAGTTTCTGTCGTTCGATCAAACGAAGGCATAGCAAATAAAACCCATTTCCAAAACAATTACATACCCACATACATACCATATTAAACACTACTAAACTTTATTTTATATCCAATAACAGATAATATTTACAAACATGCCAAAAAGATGCTGGAATGCAACACACCGTTTAAGTCAAAATGTCTATTAGTTAGAAATTAACATTACCATTTGAAAGATTTGACCGAATAGAGAAAATTAAAACATGATTTTCTTGAACGTACTTTCGGGTAAAAACCCACACATTTCGACTTTCACCAGTAGAATTGCGACTGTTGCCAAGCCGTCCAAACACAACATAAAACGTGGTTATATAACTTTTTCCTTCCTCACCAGCGTGTTTTAAAAGAAACATGTGTCAGCGACTTCAAACAAATCAACTCCAACCTCAAGGAAGGGGTCAGTGAATCTTCGCTGACGATCAAAGTCTTTTTCTGCGTACCAACTACACAAAGACTTTAACTGAACTAAAGACTGTTTTTATTCCTATTTTTAACTTTTTTGAATTCATGTACATATGTTTGTAAATACAAGCGATTTATTTCACAGGCATACCTATGTTTTCTTTATTTTTATTTTATTATTGTTTGGAATTCGGACGTTCGTATATTTAATATTAAAAAAAAAACCTTAGACGAGAGAATTTCCTACAAAGGCATAGGCTGTTTTGACCACCAGTTTGTTGCTACCGCCAAAATAAATCCTGTTGCCTAAACTAAATATCTTTAACTAAGTTCCTAAAGTTTCACTTCTACTATTGCAGAAATACGATCTGAGAGAAATTGTCTTTCCTCCTGGTTAATCCCAACTTAATTTATCTACTTTACCTATCATTATGAGTACGTATTCTCTCAAGGAGGGTCATAGTCTTGAACGTCTATTGGGATTCAAGCTTTCCCCAGACTACAAGTGGAACTCATTTATCTAATCTATTGCTAAAGATGCTGGAAAAATATTTTGCTTCATTGTACCACTCCTGACTACAGCTTGCTATACTTTATCTTTACAAGAGCTAGATCAGACTACTAATGGATCATTGCTGCCATAACTGGGATAGAGCTGCCTAGTCCTTATTTACCTGTTCAAAAACGTCTACGCGACCTTGTGGGTGATGAATTATTTTCCACCCTACAATCCCTTTCTGCACAAATGAAACATTGCGAGCCAACTCGCTGGTCTATCGCTATTTCTACAGCATATGTTCGGACGCGACACATTCCTTAGACCCACCACCTCTGACCTTTACAAGTATGACCCGCCATACCACGGACACAGGGATCTATCATCCCCATTCCCTTCGTATTTCTAGAGTAAGAAATAAGTTCCATTGGGACAGCTTCTTGTCAAGAATTGTTGGAACAGATTCCCGATAGGATGTTTTCCCAATCAGTCTCCATATCCATTTACTGATGTACCCAAGGTCACATGGCCCAGGGGATAAAAGCGTTGGTTGAAGTAATCCAGTGACTTAACCCAGAGTTGTGAGTTCAATACCTGGCCACGGCAGAGGTGAACAAAAACTTGGAGAGTTGAGTTACTAAAGGGAAATAACTGAAACTGAGATATCCAGAAAAGGCATGGCACGTGGAACTAGAACAATCTAACCCAGTGGGCTAAATAAAGGGTTAGGTTATCGCCTTTACTGAAAATTCCAACGTATGAGGCCGGAGCGTATTAAAACAAAACGTCGTGAATATGACAATAAAGACGAGGACAACAGTCCGAATAATGTAAATAGTGTAAATAAAAAATGAATATTTATGAAAAATGGAAACAAAAAAGATACTTAGAATCATGTAAGAAATTGAAATATCTAGGACGCATAATGAAAAAGGGCATGGAGAATTTGACACTCACATGACTTAGTGAAAGCAGAAAAGCAACGAGAACCTACTTAATGTGCTTGAGTAAATTGATGACAGAACAGGGTTTAGTGGGGAGGAATAGCCAAAAAGACGATAGAAAAGACAAAACTTACGAAGTGCTACAAAGGATAGAAATTGTGGAGAGCTATGATCGCCCACATCCTAGAGGAACACGGCACATAGACGAAGAATATGTAACGTTGCAGAAACTCTGTCGCAAAGTTATTTCGTTAGCCGGGTCAGCGTTGCCCTGCGCCAGACTCAACTTAGAAATTAGTAACAATATTTAGTTTGATATTTTAACTCTTAAAATCATCAACTATTCATAAATTAAAAAAAATAAAAATAAAATAGATGTCTATGATGAGTCTGATTTTTCATTCTTTTAAGTTTTAAGTAGCTCTGATTCTGCTGCAGGCCTAAAAAACAGAATGAAATATTAAATCCATGTCTTGCTAAATCTATAGCGCCAGAATCGCTTACCACTTTGAAATCCCACATAAGCAACGTTTTTGGTTTGTTTTAAATGGCAACTATATGTTTGACGTCAAACATGAAAAATAAAATCAAACCAATCAGTACAAACTATATAATGTTTTTTAACCAATGAAAAAAAAAAGGAAAGCTGACTTCAGAAGAAAGGAAACAATCGCTTCTGGAATCTCTAAAAAATACACTATTTACATTATTCGGACTATTGTCCTCATCTTTGTCGCCATATTTATCACAACGTTTCGGCCGTTGTACGCTCTGGCTTCCTTCAGGTGTTTGGAATGTCGAACTGAACCCTTTATTTCGCTCACTGGAGTAGACTGTTTTAGTTCTACGTGCCATGTCTAATAGGTGCTCCAGGCTTTAGGTCTTGTGCCACGTCAAAGCTACGCCTAGTAAATCATTTTGGTACCTCGACGTCGTGTAATGGTTAGCAAGCTTGTATCGCTAGAGCAATTACGACTGAGTAGTGAGTTCGATCCTCACTTGGTGCTCCAGGCTTCAGGCCTTGTACAACATCAAAGTTACGCTTAGTAAATCATTTGGGCACCTCGATGTCGTGTAATGCTTAGCAAGCTTGTTTGCTA